TGAGTTGATGATTTCACTGATTGAATGCAGACGACAGAAAGGGAGCACACAGAACGGAGAAGGCATTTGGAAAACAAAACACTGGCCCGGTCCGATGCAGGGGAGAGGCAGCAGGGCTAGAGGCAGAGGCATTTGAGGCATTTGGGTTTTTCTTTCAACTTGCAAAAAGCTCCCGCTGGTGGCAGAAGTGCGGGGTCTGTGCGCGGAGCAGCCCTGGGGAGTGACTGTGCAGGCTGCGGCCAGAGCTCTGTGGGTGTCTGTTTTAAATGCAGACCCTTCCGGTTTCCCTGAGCGCCTCCCGATCATGCTGGCTCCGTGGCATCAGCAGCCCGGATGGTTTCATTTTCACCCTGTGAACTGGACTGTCCCACTGCAAATCTCCCTCGAGTTCTTGGAAAACTCTCTGAGGTTGAGCAGCAGCAGGACGTTTGCATGAGAAAATTGGTGACTCAAAGCCTTTCCACAGAGTTCTTAGGGCCCCCTGGGAGATCTCATTACTGTCCTTTTTTTTTTTTTTTTAAGATTTATTTATTTGTTTGAAAGGCAGACAGAGAGAGAGAGGTCCTCCATTCACTGGGTCCCTCCCCAAATGGTTGCAATGGCCAGAGCTTGGCCAATCCGAAGCCAGGAGTCAGGAGCTTCATCCAAGTCTCCCACGTGGGTACAGGGGCTCATACAGTTGGGCCAACTTCTGCTGTTTTTTTCCCTGGCACATTAGCAGGGAGCTGGGTGGGAAGAGGAGCAGCCGAGACTGGAACCCGTGCCCATATGGGATGCCGGTACCACAGGTGGAGGCTTAACCTGCTAAGCCACAATGGCCCCCTTATTTGTGTCTTGAAGTCTGGGTTTGTGCTCCTTTGTTTGAACACTGGGTAAGACAAAAGCAAGTTCAGTTTTGCACAGCTTGGAGCCTTCCCATGAGGCCCTCTGGGGGACTGCTCTTTCTCTAACCCAGCTAGGCAGCCACAGACCAAGCAGGAGTGGCTTGACCGGGGCTGGCGCTGTGGCATAGTGGTAAAGCCGCTGTCTGCAATGCCTGCATCTCACAAGATGACAGTTGGAGACCCGGCTGCTCCACTTCCGATCCAGCTCTGTGCTAATGCGCCTGGGAAAGCAGTGGAAGATGACCCAAGTGCTTGGGCCCCTGCACCCACGTGGGAGACCAGGAAGAAGCTCCTGGCTCCTGGCTTTAGCTTGGCCCAGCCCTGGCCGTTATGGCCATCTGCGGAGTGAATCACTGGATGGAAGATCTCTCTGTTTCTCCCTCTCCCTCTCTATAACTGTATTTCAAATAAATAAACAAATCTTTTAAAAATAGGTTTATGTTGGCACAACAATTTTTGAAATCTATGCCTAGTTTTTTTCACGAAGTACATTTCCCCTGAACTTTGGGGAGACCCCTCGTGTTAAGTGTGGCAAAAGGGACATGAGCGTGTCTCCCTGGGTTATGGTGTGTCTCAGGTCCTGGGTCCCCTGGGTCTGAGCTCAAAGATCTCACGTTGGTGAGGTGAGAGCTGAAGGTGGTCAGCTGCCTCAGAGGCTGAGACATCAGGTTGGATGCTCGTATCTCACGTTCGAGTCCCCATCCCGCTTGTAGATCCAGCTCCCTGCTGATGCACGCCCCGTGGGGTTACCAGTGGTGGCTCAAATACTAGGATCCAAACTGAGTTCCTGGCCCCTGGTTTGGGCCTGGCCCAGGCTTTGCTGTGGCAGGCATGTGGAGGATGACGTAACTAATGGGAGACCTCTGATTCTCTCTCTGTCTCTCTCCATCTCAATGAAATAAATAAATTAACTTTAACAGATGGGATCATGATTTAAGTGACTTAATAAACTCTCTGGACTCTAGGTAAAGGAATTAATGCATGACACAGCACAGGCACAAAGCCCCGCCTTGCTCTCCATGGAAGAAAGTGTTTGATTGCAGCAATAACTGGGTTAGCTCAGATGCTTCTCGTATGGTAAAACAAACTCTTCAAGACAATAAGTTAAGAAGCATGTCCCATGGACATGCACACACGTGGACACATACATGTCGTCATGGACACACGGCATGTTGAAACGCACACACACGGACACCCATAGATGTCACCACGGACACACGGCATGTTGAAACACACATGTGGACACACATAGGTGTCACCACAGACACATGTCATGCTGAAACGCACACACATACATGTCACCATGGACAAACGTCATGTGGAAATGCACATATGTGGACACATACATGTCATCATGGACCCCCCAGCATGTTGAAACACACGTGGACATGCATAGGTGTCACCACAGACACATGTCACGCTGAAATGCATGTACATGTGGACACATGCCATATCAAAATGTATGTACACGTGGGCACACACATGTCATCATGGACATGTGTCATGTTGAAATGCACACATGTCAGTATGTATGTAATGTTGGCAGTATGTAAATACACACATCATGGACACAGAAGTCACACTGGACATGCACACGTCACCATGGGCACACATGTGTCATCTTGGACATGCACACACATGTCATCATGGTATTCAGCAGTGGCTCTCATGTTTTAGAACACCCAAGAGATAAAGAAAACGTGAGTCTGGAATCCGACCCCTAGATATTCTGCTCCAATAAACCTGGGTGTGAGCCCAAAAGTCTGTTTTACAGTAAGCTCGCGAGGGTCACGTCCCTGGACTGACTCTAGAAACTTGGTGTCCCCTTGTTAGTGCTCTGGGGAGGCAGCCGGTGATGGCTCAATTCCCTGGGCCCCTCCAACCACGTAGGAAACCAAGATCGAGTTTCTGGCTCCTGTTTCTGGTCCAGCCTAGCCCTGGCTGTGAATGGAAACTATCCCTGCCTCTCTCTCTGTCACTCTGCCTCAAATGAATACATGGATAAAACTTTTTTTTTCAAAGAAACCCTAGCGTGCCCCAAAAGAAAAAGAACATTTAGCTTGGAATACAGACAAAGCCCAAACTCCAAAGCACTGGTGTTGCCTTCCGCACTCTGGAACCTGGGAGCCTGATCTGAATCTGGTAGGTCCTCCTCGGGTTGCTCCAAACAGTGACAATTTTCTCTGCTGTTTTCAGTCTTCACATCCATAAAATGGGTATCATAACAACACTGGCGATGTTTAAACAAGCTGACGTGACTACACACAAAGTCCACGTGGGTGATGTTAATCCGGGGACCAGGAGACACCCACAGCCACACCCAGTGGTTTAGGCCAGCAGTAACCCTCCAGTCCTCAGCAGCAGTGCCCCTGTGTGGCCGTGCTTGGAATAGCAGCATCAGGCTGCAGGACTGTGGGGTGGACCGGATCACAAGGGTCAGTGCTTTCTCTTGTTTTTATCTATCTATCTATCTATCTATCTATCTATCTATCTATCTATCTATCTATCTTAAAAGGTATTTATTTATTTGTAAGGGGAGTTACAGAGAGAGACAGAGAGAGAGGTCTTCCATCCGCTGGTTCACTCCCCAGATGGCCACAATGGCCAGAGCTGTGCTGATCTGAAGCCAGGAGCCAGGAGCTTCTTCTGGGTCTCCCACGCAGGTCCAGGGGCCCAAGCACTTGGGCCATTTTCTTCTGCTTTCCAGGCCATTGCAGAGAGCTGGATCGGAAGTGGAGTAGTGGGGACTTGAACAAGTGCCCATATGGGATGCCGGCGCTGCAGGTGACAGCTTTACCCACTATGCCACAGCACCGGCCCCAGGACCCAGGAGCTTCTTCCAGGGACATCAGATACACAGGGAGAGGGGCTCCCCTTCTCATCTTTTTAAAGAATCTGTCCATTTGTTTTCATTTTATTTGAAAGCCAGAAAAACGATGGAGAGAGGAAGAACATCTCCCATCTCCTGCCTGGTTCTCTCACCAGGCCAAAGACAGGAGCCCAGGACTCCATGCTGGTCTCCCGCGTGGGTGGCAGAGACCACAGGCACTGGAGCCCTCCTCGGCCGCCTCTCAGGGTGAGCACTGGTAGGAAGCTGGGTCCCTAGGATCTGGGACCTGGAAGCCCAGGTCCATCCTCACCATATTCCCACCCCTGCCTCATCACCGTTAGTTACACCTGCCGGTGACCCTGTTGCCAAATAAGGTTGCATTCTGAGATGCCAGGGGTTTAGGGCTTTAGCTCTCCCCTCCTCCTCCCTGCCTGAGCGGGAATCCACTAGGAAGCTATTTTAAATAGTTTGCAGAGGCCGGCGCCGCGGCTCAATAGGCTAATCCTCCGCCTAGCGGCGCCGGCACACCGGGTTCTAGTCCCGGTCGGGGCGCCGGATTCTGTCCCGGTTGCCCCTCTTCCAGGCCAGCCCTCTGCTGTGGCCAGGGAGTGCAGTGGAGGATGGCCCAGGTGCTTGGGCCCTGCACCCCATGGGAGACCAGGAAAACCACCTGGCTCCTGGCTCCTGCCATCAGATCAGCGCGGTGCGCCGGCCGCGGCGGCCATTGGAGGGTGAACCAATGGCAAAAGAAAGACCTTTCTCTCTGTCTCTCTCTCTCACTGTCCACTCTGCCTGTCAAAAAAAAAAAAAATAGTTTGCAGAAAATGGAATTTGAAGATGTCTATTGTGGTGCAAAACAACTTTGTAATCCTTGCATGATTTTTTCCCCCATAATATGTATTTTCTCTGTTTTTAAATATGCACGGATTTTAAACGTTTCTGCACCCAAGTAAACTTTTCCTTTAAATAGTTAAACACTATTATTATTATTAGAGAGGCGGGGGTGGGGGTAAGGATCCCGTCTGCTGATTCACAGCCTGCGGCAGCCAGGGCTGGGAGGGGAGCTGAGGACTCCAGCCCGGTCTCTACCACCTGGACCGCAGGAACCCACCCACTTGAGCCCACAGCGGCTGCCTTGAACCCCGGTACGAGCACGTAGGATGCAGGAACCTTAATCCCCGGGCTGAAACTCTGCTCTCTTTTAATTCTACTTTCTGGGAAACAATCCAGACCAGCAGGTAAGCATCTGCTCCCCCTCCAATCCAGCTCCCTGCTAGCGGCCTACGGAAACCACAATAAAAGACGGCCCAAGCCCTATCTTCCCGGCTTCAGAACGCGAACGCGTTTTCGCTCGGTTTGACCCTCCAGGCTTCCTGTCTACGCCGTCCCAGCGCGCCTGCGCAGAAACCCTCTGCCCTTTCATCTTGGCGCTTGGGCTGCCTGGACCATGGCGGCCCGCAGCGTAGGGCTGCTGGCCCGGTCGCCCCTCTGCGCCCAGAGCAGAAGTCCCGTCCGGCTCGCCGCTGCCAGGCTCCTCAGCGGCGCAGGGCCTGTGGCCGCAGACGTCGGCAGAGAAGAGCAGCCACTGAGAGGCGCGGAGACAGGTGATGGCGCCGCGGGCGACGGAGGGAAGACGCGGCTGGCGGGCGCGGGCGAGGCTGGGCCCCCGGGACCTGCCCGCTGGAGGTGGGAGTCAGTGGGTGGCGCGGCGGCGCCGGGGGCCCTGGTGTGACAAGATTGTGGTGCGCTGTACGGCCTGGGCGTTCCTTGATGTCCGAGTCGCGTTTTCCCCACGGGCCGCTTCTGAAGCCCCCAGAGCTCGCTGTCGGCTCTCGGGCTGCAAATCCCCGTATGGAGAGCAGGTGCAGGCCTCCTCCCCCGCGCCTCCTGGCTCACCCAGGCCCTGGGAGTTCCTTATGTCTGGAGCGGAGCAGGCGCGCTCGCTTAAAGGGGCGGTTCACGTTAGTGCAGGAAGCTTCAAGTGTGAGCATGGGTGGTTTTCTGTGTGTGTGTGTGCGTGCGTGTGTAATACGCGTTTCTCCTTTGGAAGGAGGCGTTTCTGCACCAACAGCGTCCTCTGCCCCTGGGTAATCCTACACGTTGCATTCCGCTCTGACGTTAGTTTGGGCTCACTCTATATGCCGCTGTCGGTACTGGGTCATTTCCGCACTGGGTAAGACCCCAGTGAGCCTTGCCCTGCTCACACCCCGCCACGCCCATGTGCGCCTCGCGCTTGCCCGTGCAAGGGGGGCAGCAGGCGATGGCCCAGGTGCTCGGGTCCCTGCCACCTGGTGGAGCTCCTGGCTCCTGGCATCAGCCTGGCCCAACCCTGGCTATTGAGGGCATTTGGAGAGTGAGCCAGTGCATGGAAAATCTCTCTCCATGGCTCGCTCACCCTCTGTCACTTTGCTTTTCAGATAAATAAATAAATCTTAAAAAAAAAAAAAGTACTTTAAGCTACCCCTCTGCAAGTTAAATCTCTTAGCAAAGCAAATGAGTTGTTGAAATTCAGTGTTGGCCGGCGCCGCAGCTCACTAGCCTAATCCTCCACCTGCGGCGCCGGCACACCGGGTTCTAGTCCCGGTTGCGGCACTGGATTCTGTCCCGGTTACTCCTCTTCCAGTCCAGCTCTCTGCTGTGGCCCGGGAGTGCAGTGGAGGATGGCCCAAGTGCTTGGGCCTGCACCCGCATGGGAGACCAGGAGAAGCACCTGGCTCCTGGCTTCGGATCAGTGAAGTGCGTCGGCAGTAGCGGCCATTTGAGGGGTGAACCAATGGAAGGAAGACCTTTCTCCGTCTCTGTCTCTAACTCTCCCTATCAAAAAAAATTATAAAAAAAAAACTTTAATCCTTGATTATCACAGCTCTGGTCATTATCACCTGTAATTTTAAAACTTCTTGGCCTTAAAATGATTTTGAAAGAAAGAAAGAAAGAAAAAAAGCTGTTTCTGGGGCCAGGTCTGTGGTGTAGTGGGTAAAGCCACCGCCTGCAGTGCCGTCATCCCATATAGGCACTGGTTTGAGTCCCGGCTGCTCCACTTCTGATCCAGCTCTCTGCTATGGCCTGGGAAAGCAGTGGAGGATGGCCCAAGTCCTTGGGCCCCTGCACCCACGTGGGGGACCTGGAGGAAGCTCCTGGCTTCAGATGATTGTCCCAGCTCCGGCCATTGGGGTCATTTGGGGGGTGAACTAGCAGATGGAAGACCTCCCTCTCCCTTTGTAACTCTGCCTTTAAAATAAAGAAATCTTTTTAAAATAAGTAACAAAAAGCTATTTCCTTACAGTAATATCATGAGCTTTTCATGTCCATCAACTAAGCTTTATTTTTATTTGTTGATATATTTATTTTAAGATTTATTTATTTATTTATTTGAAAGAGTTAGAGAAGGGGGAGACAGATATCTTCCGTCCGCTGGTTCACTCCCCAGATGGCCGCAGTGGCCAGGGCTGGACCAGGCCGAAGCCAGGGGCTGGTGCTTTTTGCGGGTCTTTCCCAAGTGGCTGGCAGGAGCCCAAACACTTGGGCCATCTTCTGCTGCTTTCCCAGGCCATTAGGGAGCTGGACTGGAGGTGGAGCAGCCGGGACACAAACCTGCACCCATATGGGATGCTGGCGCTGCAGGTGGTGGCTTTACTTGCCTAGTCCCAGTGCTGGCCCCAAGTAGGTTTTAAATTCTTTGATTTCTTTGTGATATATGGCACATGATCATTGGTAACTTGTTTGAGATCCGTATCAAGACCCTTGGCAAAGGAAAACTCAGCATACAAACTCCTTTTCTTACTACACTCAAGCTTGTAATAATATCTTTTTGTTTCTTTAAATTTTATTATTTACTTTTTGTATTTCTTTGAAAGGCAGAGAGACAGCCTCCCATCCACTGGGTCACTCCCCTAATGCCTGCCGTAGCTGGGGCTGGGCCAGGTTAAAATCGGGGACCTGAAGCTGCATTGGAGTTTCCCTCCTGGATGGCAGGGGCCCAAATACCTGAACCCTCACCCCTGCTGTCTCACAGCGTGTGCATTTTCAGGAAGCCGGTACCCAAGCAGAGCCTGGACTCAAACCCAGACACTCCAGTGTGGGCTGTCCCAGGCAGTATGTTAACCACCGTACCCGAGTCCCTGGGCCCCTCTCTCTAGTTTTGAAAGTTAACATGTGTACAGATTTTGTACACGTGTATTTGTGGATGTAGCTGAGTGATTTCATTTTCTTGGTTTTCCTTTTAAAATGTGTGGCGCCCTTGTTTTGGCACTGTACCTCCAGAAGAGTCAATGAAAACAGAGAGCGGATGGTTGTGATGGTGGCTGGAGGGAGGATGAACGCATGGTGCTGCTGCTCGCGACAGAAGGGCAGGCGACGACGAGACGAGGAGGGGTTGTGTTTAGTGGCCTGCACGGTCTCTGCCCCCTCACGCAGACGTGTGGTAGATTTTGCACGTGGGTGGAAATGTTTGTGTCTCATTCGTAGGCTCTGAAGACAAGACTCCCAAAAAGCGATTCTCGGAGGTGCAGGAGGAGAGACGGGAGCAGGCACAGCGGACCGTCTTAATACATTGTCCACATAAAGTCAGCGAAAAGAAGTTTCTCAAGTATTTGTCTCAGCACGGAGCCATTAATAACCATTTCTTCTATGAAAGCCTCGTAAGTGTGGGGGGCCCACGTTGGGGTTCTGTCGTCACCAGCCTGGGATGAGTGAGCCGGGCCGCTGGCAGCAGCCTTGTGCAAGGTCGTGATCCTCATCTGGAAACCAGCAGTAGCCCGCCGTGTCTCTTCTCTCGCCCTAGGGCCTCTTTGCCGTGGTGGAGTTTGCCAGGAAGGAGAGCGTGGGCTCCCTGCAGAGCGGGACGCTCATGCCGCATGAGGCCGCGATTCCCTTCCGGTCGCGGTTCCTCAGCCTGAAGCTGAAGAACGCGGGAGGCCAGCCCTCCGAGCCGCCCTCCGTGCGGGCCAGCCAGCAGCTGCCGCCTTCCAGCCAGAGGCTGCTGGAGCGCCTCTGTCGGGCAGAAAGCGTGAGTGTCCTGCAGGCCCGCTGGCGGAAGGGCCACGACGTCCATGGTCTCTGTACTCAGAGGGACCCTGGGAAGCACTCAGCTGTGTGCTTCAGTGAGATGGGCAGTGGGGACAGGTGCACCGCGCCACGGAGAGCGGCGGTCCACGGGCACCTGGCTAGGATTGGGCAGGCTGGGCTTCCGGCACCGGTGTCGTCTAGCTGACTGGCATTGGCCTGGAGCCCATCCTGTGGCCTCCAAGGGTCAGGCAGCATGTTAAGAATCATTTTAAAAATCATTTGTTTTAATTTCTCTGATTAATTCACGGGACTGCTTAAAAAAACGCAGCTTCCAGAATTTGCTGAGCAACGGGTGGCCGCGTCCTTTGTACCCTGGACTTGGCCGCGTGGCGTTGTTCCAGCCTCTGGCCTTTTTGGAGAGTCCAGCCTTTCTTTCTCTTTTGAACCTAATGATACCTTCCTCTCTGTCTCTCTCTCACTAACTCTGCCTGTCAAAAAAAAACAAGAAAAAAAGAACCTAATACAGAGTCTCACCAAGACGAAGTGGTATTCTGCAGGTTTCAGAGCACCCCCGCTCTCGTCTTCCTTTTCTCTACTAATTGAGTTTGCACTTCTCTTGGCTTTTCTTCCTCAGACGTGTCCGCTCTGACGCGGCTGAGCCGTCCTTTAGCCATCAGAATACTGTTTTTTTCGGTTTGGTTTTCTGGCTTAAAAATCTTTGCCTCTAACCTTTCACATTTCCTGTCTTTTCTTTCATGTTTTTCGGGGGATGTTTATTCAGCTGCTTTCAGTGTTGTTTTTAAATAAGGGCGTTATTTTTTTTTTTTTTTTTTTTTTACTTTTTGCCATTCTAGTGCAGTTTGGGGGCCTAATGATTTTAATAGCAGACTTCTGTTGGACCCCGGGTGGTTAGCCCGACGGCTGCAGCGGGCTCGGGTCTCGGTGGCCGGAGTCAGCAGTGCGTGCAGCATGGCTGGCTCTCCGGCCGGCCGCCCCGAGGTGAATGTGGTGGTGTTGGGTTCCTCCAGGGAACTGTTCCTCCAGCTTCGCGCTCGGCGCACGGGGAAAGTCGCTAATGCTTTCGCCAGTGCCGCTTTCCTAGCTCTTGTTAGAGTGCATTTAGATGGTCCACTTGGAGGACTTGAAAGGACAGCAGTGCTTGTTGCAGCTGGCCCTCGGGGCCGCCAGGTCTGGGGACCCTGTGTGACCTGTGCATCTGCGTCTTGTTTGCCTTCTGGCCAGCTAGGTGGGTGATCAGCTGGACACGCTGCTGCAGGAGCTGCAGCTGACGGAGGAGAACGTCAGGCTGCGCTACCTCACCTGCTCGCTCATCGAGGACGTGGCCGCCGCCTACTTCCCGGACTGCACCGTCAGGCCCTTTGGCTCCTCGGTGAACACCTTTGGGAAGCTGGGGTGTGACCTGGACATGTTTTTGGATCTGGATGAAATTGGAAAGCGCAGCACTCCTAAGGTGATTCTACTGCTTTAGCTACTGTACGAAATCAGAATGGGACAAATTCTAACTGTTGGTATCTAAATTTAGTGAGTGTTGTGGTGGAAGGATCAGGTCTGTTCCATGGTCATTCTTTGGAATTGTGAAGTCTTGTGTATTGGTTGAGTGTATATCATTGTTTTTGCGCGCATTCTATACAGATGCAATACAATACTCTTCAAGGGCTCAAGTATTTTGGTAAAGTCAAGAGTTGCATAGTTACTCAGATTAGCATGTCTCAAGTAATTGTTTCATCTGGGTGGTCTAATTATGGAATATCTCCAGATCTGATTTTTGCTCTTAAAAATTTTTTTGATCTTTGTTATTTTTCGAAGATTCCGTTAGCTACACAAGGCAGTAGAGGTATATGGTTATTCTGTCTTACCAGATTGTTTCGCTTATTCAGTTATGTCCCTTTTCCTTTCTGTAAATGCATTTTCCTTCAATTCTGTTTTGTTAATTAAGAGCTGCTTCTTTTTCCTCATCTGCAGCCATAGTGTGTGATGTTTTGTTCTGAGTGTGTGCTGTTGTGTTGTGAGGGTGTATAGTGCTGTGTTCTGAGGGTGTCTGAGGGTGTGGTGCTGTGTTGTGAGGGTGTGGTTTGTTCTGAGTGTGTGCTGTTGTGATGTGAGGGTGTCTGAGGGTGTGGTGCCGTGTTGTGAGGGTGTCTGAGGGTAGGCTGTTGTGATGTGAGGGTGTCTCTGAGGGTGTGGTGCTGTGTTGTGAGGGTGTGGTGCTGTGTTGCGAGGGTGTCTCTGGGAATCGCGCTGAGGCCCCTGGAGCTCATTGGGCTTATGCTCAGTACTGACAGGGTTCGGGCGCGTTTCTGTTGTTTGATTTTGTCTCTTGTGTTCAGTGCCTTTGCCTGCTTTGCTGTGTTCTTGGGAGCAGAATCCTGTCCCCCACTTCCTCGCTGCCAGTGTCGCCTTGGTTTTCCCACCTGCAGTCTGTGCTGCAGTGACTTAGAGCCCAGTTTGGATTTCCTCAGACTTGGAGCGGGTCTTCCCTTAGCACAGTGTTGAAGTGACCTGTCTCTGCCTGCCACTCCCAGAGCAGCCAGGTGCTGCTAGGGAGAGCCTGGTGGCCTCCGTGTCCTGGCCTCTGGGGCTCCGTCAGGAGAGCGCTTTCCCTACGCTCCCAGCTGTCGTGCTTGCACAGCTTTGGGGTACCCGCTCTCACTGCACCCGCCTGCCTGAAGCTATCCCCAGTTTCCTCCACTCTAGTAAAAAAAAAAAATCTAGCGCTTTATTTATTTATTTAAGAATCAGAGTTATAGACAGAGGGAGAGACAGAGAGAGAGGTCTTCCATGTGCTGGTTCACTCCCCAAGTGGCCACAACCCCTGGAGCTGGGCCAATCCAAAGCCAGGAGCCTCATCCGGGTCTCCCAGGTAGGTGCAGGAGCCCAAGCATTTGGGCCATTTTCCACTGCTTTCCCAGAACCTAGTAGAGAGCTGGATCGGAAGTGGAGCACCCAGAGGAGATACCGGCACCATTTGGCAGAGGCTTAACCTACTATACCACAGTGCCGGCCCCAATACCGATCAAAATTAATCCCTCCTTTCTGCAGCCTGTCTCTGTTGTTTCTGTCTCCATATTCCTTCTGCATCATGTTCAGTGGTTGGTGTATGCTTTCCCCACTCTGTCGGAAGTTTGAGTAGGGCAAGAACCCCAGTCTGTCTGTCTGTCCTGCAGTTGGAGTGTAGTGCCTGGCATGCTACATACTAACATGCTCAACACACGATGAGCTGAAGCTAGCCGGGGAGGAGACACTTCCAGGTTCCCTGGGTCAGGCAGCGGTGGGACTTAGCCAAGTCTTAGGTTGGATTTCTGGCTCCCGCTCCTGACTCCAGCTTCCTGCTAATGTAGACCTAGGGCGGCTGTAAGCATTCAGGAAATTGGGTTTCCGCCACCCCCATCCATTCCTGGCAGCAGCCTTGGCCAAGTCCTGCCACTGCAGGCATTTGGGGAATGAACGAGAGGAAGGGAGCTTTCTCTCTCTGTTCTCTCTCTCTCTCTCTCTCAGATAACTTTTTTAAAAAGTTCAGTGGGTCAGTTTTCTCAAGACTGAATGTGCACTGTGTGAAACTGTATTAAGTTTCTGGTAGGGGCACTGTGTAGGACTATGTTTTTTTTTTTTTTTTTTAACTTTCATTTAACAAATATAAATTTCCAAAGTACAGGTTATGGATTACAGTGGCCTTCCCCCCACCCCCCATAACTTCCCTCCCACCCACAACCCTCCCATCTCCCGCTCCCTCTCCCATTTCATTCACATCAAGATTCATTTTCAATTATCTTTATATACAGAAGATCAATTTAGTATATATTAAGTAAAGATTTCAACAGACTGCACCCACACAGAGCATAAAGTGTAAAGTACTGTTTGAGTACTAGTTATAGCATTAATTCACATTGTACAACACATTGAGGACAGAGATCCTACATGAAGAGTAAGTGCACAGTGACTCCTGTTGTTGACTTAACAAATTGACACTCTTGTTTATGGCATCAGTAATCTCCCTAGGCTCTTGTCATGAGTTGCTAAGGCTATGGAAGCCTTTTGAGTTCGCCGACTCCGATCTTACTTAGACAAGGTCATAGTCAAAGTCGAAGTTCTCTCCTCCCTTCAGAGAAAGGTACCTCCTTTGATGGCCCCCTCTTTCCACCAGGATCTCACTCACAGAGATCTTTCATCTAGGTCTTTTTTTTTTGCTAGAGTGTCTTGGCTTTCCATGCCTGAAATACTCTCATGGGCTTTTTAGCCAGATCTGAATGCCTTAAGAGCTGATTCTGAGGCCAGAGTGCTTTTTTTTTTTTTTTTTTTTTTTTTTTTGACAGGCAGAGTGGACAGTGAGAGAGAGAGACAGAGAGAAAGGTCTTCCTTTACGTTGGTTCATCCTCCAATGGCCGCCGCAGCTGGTGCACCGCGCTGATCCGATGGCGGGAGCCAGGTGCTTTTCCTGGTCTCCCATGGGGTGCAGGGCCCAAGCACCTGGGCCATCCTCCACTGCACTCCCGGGCCATAGCAGAGAGCTAGCCTGGAAGAGGGGCAACCGGGACAGAATCCGGCACCCTGACCGGGACTAGAACCTGGTGTGCCGGCGCCGCTAGGCAGAGGATTAGCCTATTGAGCTGTGGCGCCGGCCGGCCAGAGTGCTACTTAGGACATCTGCTATTCTATGAGTCTGCTGTGTATCCCGCTTCCCATGTTGGATCGTTGGATCATTCTCTCCTTTTTAATTCTATCAGTTAGTATTAGCAGACACTAGTCTTGTTTATGTGCTCCCTTTGACTCTTAATCCTATCATTTTGATCAGTTGTGAAACGAAATTGATCACTTTGACTAGTGAGATGGCATTGGTAACATGCCACCTTGATGGGATTGAATTGGAATCCCCTGGCACGTTTCTAACTCTACCATTTGAGGCAAGTCAGACTGAGCATGTCCCAAATTGCACATCTCCTCCCTCTCTTATTCCCACTCTTATATTTAACAGGGATCACTTTTCAGTTAAATTTAAACACCTAAGAATAATTGTGTGTTAATTAAAGCGTTCAACCAATAGTATTAAGTAGAACAAAAAAAATACTAAAGGGGATAAAGTATTAAGTTGCACATCGACAGGATAAGAGCTGATCAAGTCACTGTTTCTCATAGTGTCCATGTCACTTCAACAGGTTTCCTTTTTGGTGCTCAGTCAGTTGTCACTAGGACTATGTTGAATAAAGGACTTGGAGCTGAATAGTTGAGGAGCATGGCAGTGTGCTCTAGAGGTTAGAGAGAGCCGAGGCCCTGGGAGCCAGCTGCAGACTCAGTTCTACGTACGGCTGTGCGACCTCAGGTGTCGTTCGCCTTCTCGGGGCCCCGGTTCTTTAGCTGACCTTGGCGTAGCGCCCTTAGGTGAGCTAATTCTTGTGTATTGAAGCAGTCGGGGCAGCGCTGGGCAAAAATAGATGTCAGGTACTGACCAGCAGCAGTGACAGTAGTCTGCCTTGTTACTGTGCACGTTGGGAACTTTTGTGTCTCTTGGAAGCAGAGGGAAGCGTTGGGAACTTTGAGTTGGATCTTACTCTTAGGCTTCTGAAGTGTTATGGTATTTAGAAAAGATATTCTAGAAGACACTGCTCCAGGCTCACTGAGCAGCTTGACGTTACTTTGTATGGAGGTTTGACTTACTGAGGTGTTATTATAAATGTGTTGGGCGGGTGTTGGCACAGTAGGTTAAGCCGCCATTCGGGCCGGCCATATTCCATGTTAGAGAGCAGGTTGAGTACTATTATTCCAGTTCTGGTCCAGCTCCCTGCTGATGCACCTGGGATGGTTGCAGATGATGGCCCAAGTGTTTAAGTTCCTGCCACCCACGTGGCATATCCGTATGGAATTCATGGTTTCTGGCTTTAGCCTGGCCTAGCCCCGGCTGTTGCAGGCACTTGGTGGAGAGGGAGCAGCATATAAGAAATCTCTCTCCGTCTCTCTCTCTCTGCTTCTCAGACAACTAAATGAATCTTTAAGAAGGGGCTGGAGGGCCAGCGCCGCGGCTCACTAGGCTAATCCTCTGCCTAGCGCCGCCGGCACACCGGGTTCTAGTCCTGGTCGGGGCGCCGGATTCTGTCCCGGTTGCCCCTCTTCCAGTCCAGCTCTCTGCTGTGGCCCGGGAGTGCAGTGGAGGATGGCCCAGGTGCTTGGGCCCTGCACCCCATGGGAGACCAGGAAAAGCACCTGGCTCCCGCCATCGGATCAGCGCGGTGCGCCGGCCGCGGTGGCCATTGGAGGGTGAACCAACGGCAAAGGAAGACCTTTCTCTCTGTCTCTCTCTCTCTCACTGTCCACTCTGCCTGTTAAAAAAAAAAATAGCTTATACCTAAAAGCAAACTGTTATAATCTTAAAACAGAGTGAATAGAAACCTTACAAGTAGAATATATTGAGAAACTTAATCACTTAAAAAAATGTATATTTATTTGAAAGAGTTAGAGCGAGAGCTGTTCCATCTGCTGGTTTACTCCCCAAGTGGCTAGGATGGTTGGAGCTGGGCCAGGCAAAAGCCAGTAATCAGGAACTCCGACATGGGTGGCGGGGGCCCATGTCCGTGGGCCATCCCCTGCTGCCTTGCCAGGCGCATCAGCAGGAAACTGCATCAGAAGCAGAGCAGCTGGGCCTCAGACTGGCACTCCCATGTGGGATGCTGTCCTTGCAAGCTGCTACTGAACTCTGACCACTCCAGCTCCAGCTCCCTGCCCCTCTACGGGGGTCTCTGTTAGTTGATGCTGTTTGGTTGTACATGATAGAAACAGACACAGACTGGTTTAAGCAAAGAAAAGAAGTAGAGGAGGCCTCCCAGAATTCATGTGATGGTGAGTCTCGGGAGAGGACCAGAGTTAGGAAACGTCGGCTGGCAGGAACCCAGCAAGTGTTCTGTTCTCTGTCCCCTTCGCTCCTCCTTCAGACCCCGGCTGATCCTCTTTGCCTTTTCATGCGGTGGTGTAGATGCCTGCCCCACGGCATCTGAGCTCCGTGTTCCAGCCACCTGATGACCCCTGAGCCCAAGTTCCAGTTCCCAGAGACCTCTGGTTGAGCGTGTGGTGCCTGTTACAGTGCGCACATCAGTGTCCATCCCCTGCTGATCCGGGAGGGGCGGGGTAGACGTCCAGGAGTGACGTAGGGGTTCCTTGGGAGAGGGGTGGCTGCAGGGAGGGCGCCTCCTTAAGCTGGTGGAGCCCCCAGAGGTGACTGGCCCACAAGGAAGGCTGCGTTGAAGAAGGCTAGGACGCCTTCTAGCGTGTGAGCAGCAGGAAGCTGATGCTGTGCTCTGCACGGTGGCCTGCACAGTCTGGTCCTCAGCCTGATGAGTGAACGCTCTCGGCACTCTTTTAATTCCTCCTTTTTTAGCTTCTAGAAAGCCACGGGCGTGTTTTATGTTTCCCAGCCATTTGACTTCTTCCGGTAATGAGAAAGGACTTAAGTTGTTTCTGCCCATTTTTAGAACCAGGTGGTCCCCCCTTTCACTTGTATAAACCCTTGGTAAATGGGTCCTCTGAGTGGCCCATGTCGTTGATTTTGTGTTTTATCTGGCAGTGAATGCCTGCCTTGTCTTAATAGGGCTTTACTTTTTGTGCAGTCACTTTATGTGTCTTTTATACTTTCGCACCATGCTTTGAGGATCCTTCAGTATTGCAAGGTTGTAAAAGCACCCTCCACTCCGCCCCCCCATCTAGTGCTTTACTGATAGATTTTTTTTTCTTACATTGAAGTCATTGATTACGTAGGATTGACGTCAGTTTGAGAACCAGCCTGGGAACCTAGTTCATTTTTTTTTTTAAATGGCTATTTGACTCATTGGTTAAATAGGTTTACCCCTGTGATTTGCAGAGTTCATTGTATTAGATATTAAATTCCTGTTTAATTAGGTCTGTTTCTTCCATCATCTTCCATGACCCACTGTTCTTGAACCCATGCCCCCACTGCCTGGGATTACAGCATCTGTTAAAATAGACTGGCTAATTAGGGAAGGAAAGGATGCTCCCTGGACCTGCAGAGCAAGTGGTTCTGCTTGTAATGCACTCTGACATGTAACCACCAGCTGACTACAGCAAGCCAGTGGGCTTTCAGTGTAGTGCTTTATATCCTGGACAGACACCAGGCAGCTCAGGGTCTTTAAGTCTGCTTTTGGTTGGAATTGCTCAAAGAACGTTGACTTTGCAGGTTTTTTTGTTGTTGGTTTTTTTTTTTTTGCCAGAAATGATTTAGAACTTCCTTCTCGGAAAGTTTGTTTAAAAATCCCTGTTGACAAAATGCCCCTGTTTATAAATGCTTTCGTTATTCAGACCGTAGGGAATTTTTTGCTGGAATTTCAAGTGAAAAATGTTCCTTCAGAAAGGATCGCGACCCAGAAGATCCTGTCGGTGATCGGCGAGTGCCTGGACCACTTCGGCCCCGGCTGCGTGGGGGTGCAGAAGATCCTCAATGCTCGCTGCCCGCTCGTGCGCTTCTCCCACCAGGCATCTGGCTTCCAGTGCGACCTGACCGCCAACAACAGGTGAGAGTGCCATGCAGGGCAGGCGGTCTTTGGACTGTCACGGAGGACTTGGGAAACTCCGAGCTGTTCGACTGACAAGCGGGAAGCCCTTTGTCTTACGTTGTGCCTGTTGATGATTGGGCATTCTGGAAACTTTGGCGTTCCTATGTCAACATGCCTGACATCGGAGACCAGCTGTGCTGCATTGTTCCTAGCTGGGTCGCATGCCTGTGGGAAGAGGGCTTGTTTGTCCTGTGTGAGTCTTCTAGGTGTGCTTAGAGGGGGGAGTGACAGCCAGCCTCTGGCCTGTCCATTCTGTGTGCTTAGAGTTGTCTGCACAGACTGCATGGCGTTCCTGCAGCACATTTGCAGATCGTGTTACTTTGGCAACCTGCTTGCTTTAAAAAGCAGACAGGGGTAGCAGTGATGAGTTCTTCCAGACTCGATTGCTTTTCCTGGATTCACAGTATGGAACCTATCTCAATTGAAGAGTTTTCTTAACTCCAGTGCTGTCAAAGATTTATTTTATTTATTTGAAAGACAGAGTTACAGAGAGAGGTAGAGACAGAGAGAGGTCTTCCATCCACTGGTTCACTCCCCAGATGGCCGCAGTGGCTGGAGCTGCACAGATCCAAAGCCAGGAGCCAGGAGCTTCTTCCAGGTCTCCCACATGGGTGCAGGGGCCCAAGCACTTGGGCCTTCTTCTACTGCTTTCTTACTGCAGAGAACTGGATTGGAAGAGGAGCAGCTGGGACTAGAACTGGTGCCCATATGGGATGCCGGCACTTCAGGCCAGGGCTTTAACCTGCTGTGCCACAGCACCGGCCCCTATGTAGTGTTTTATTTGTGTTGTTGGGGCAAGTGTTTTTTTTTTGTTTTTGTTTTTGTTTTTGTTTTAAGATTTATTTATTTGAAAGACAGACTTGCAAAGAGAGAGGCAGAGAAAGAGAGAGAGCAGAGAGAGAGAATCATCTATCTCCTGGTTCACTTCCCAAATGGCCCCAGTGGCCAGGGCTGGGCTAGGCCTAAGCCAGGAGCCAGGAGCTTCATCTGAGTCCCCGATGTGGGTGCACGGGCCCAAGCACTTGGGCCGTCTTCTGCTGCTTTCCCAGGAAACACCAGCAGAGAGCTGGATCAGAAAAGAAGCAACCAGGACTCGAACTGGCGCTCATATGGGATGCCGGTGCTGCCGAGAGCAGCTTAACCTACTACGTCACAGCACCAGCCCCACTGGGACAGATTTTTAAGAATTTGTCTTCAGGTTTTTATACTTGCAGTGTTTCTGTGCATTAAGATTCCTTGCACTGTTTGATGTTTATTTTTCAGCTTAATTTAGCTTGGCTTACATTTGTGAAATGATCACTGTGAGTTTCTAATTTGCCATTTCTCTTAACTCCGCACGTAAATGCCACAGTGGTACTTTGGAGAGGGTTTTAAGTTAATACTGTTAAATGATCTTGTGCCCTCTGTTGGTTCTTTGAGAAATTACAAGAAACGTTCTGGTAAGTCTAATCTCAATTTTTAAATACTCCCAATGAACAATTTTTTGAATTTGCATTTTAACATTTTGATTAGGAATCTTATCGAAGATGCATTTTTAAGCTTGATTTCTTTTTTTATATAGAAAACTTTTACTTAATAAATATAAATTTCAAAAGTACAACTTTTGGATTATAGTAGTTCTTCTCCCCATAACCACCCTGCCACCCACAAACCATCCCATCTCCTACTCCCTCTCCCATCCCATTCTTCGTTAAGATTCATTTTTAATTATCTTTATATACAGAAGATCAACTCTATACTAAGTAAAGATTTCAACAGTTTGCACCCACACAGACACACAAAGTATAAAGTACTGTTTGAAGACTATTTTTACCATTAATTCTCATAGTACAACTCATTAAGTGTAGAGGTCCTACATGGGGAGCAAGTGCACAGTGACTCTTGTTGTTAATTTAACAATTGACACTCTTATTTATGACGTTAGTAATCACCCGAGGCTCTTGTCATGAGCTGCCAAGGCTATGGAAGCCTCTTGAGTTCACATACTCTGACATTATTTAGATAAGGCCATAGTCAAAGTGGAAGTTCTCTCCTCCCTTCAGAGCAAGGTATCTCCTTCTTTGATGGCCCCTTCTTTCCACCAGGATCTCACTCACAGAGATCTTTCATCTAGGTCTTTTTTTTTTTTTTTTTTTGCTAGAGTGTCTTGGCTTTCCATGCCTGAAATACTCTCATGGGGTTTTTAGCCAGATCTGAATGCCTTAAGGGCTGATTCTGAGGCCAGAGTGAAGCTTGATTTCTTAACAGACATTTTATCTATGAGGATTTTGGTTTTATAAATATTAGGCTTATTGCCACTTTGGCCATTGTACACCCTATCAGAATTTTAAGATGAAATGCTGTCTTGATCAAGCATGTACAGTGTTCTGTGTTTAGTCTGCACTGTCTGCCCATGGGTCAGGTAACCAGGGTCTGAATCTGAGGTGCACAGACGGCATATATTCGGCAGAACCCCTGTTGCCGTTTTAGGAACTTGGGTTTTACAGTTCCGAGCTTCAGCACTTCATTGTGATGGTCAGCATTCCAGAGGTGTCTCAGTGTCCCGAATGACGCTCAGACCCAGCCACATGAGGTTGTGTTGCAGCTCCGTGACTCGCTGCTGAGCTCACGGGGGCGGGCCGTGTGCCCGTGGATGGGCAGCTGCTGGGATATGTTGTTCCCACGGCTGTGTTGCGTTTCTCTCTTGGATCATAATTTTGGAGTTGAAGATTATTTTCGTTTTTCTTTCTTGAAGGATCGCCTTGAAAAGTTCGGAGCTCCTCTATCTGTATGGCGCCTTGGACTCCCGGGTGAGAGCCCTGGTGTTCAGCGTGCGGTGCTGGGCTCGCGCACACTCCCTGACGAGCAGCATTCCTGGCGCCTGGATCACGAATTTCTCCCTCACCATGATGGTCATCTTCTTTCTCCAGAGGAGGTCGCCTCCTATTCTGCCGACGCTGGAGTCCCTGAAAGCCCTAGCCAGTAAGACGAGAAGTGGTGTCCTTTGCCTTCCCCAGCTAACCCCACATGCGTGTGTACCTGCCGCGTGCTCCCAATGCGGCGCCCTGGGTGGTTGTGGATTGGATCATAGGATTTGTCTTCCTGATGGTGACGCCCGCCAGGGCTCAGGAGAGCCAGTGATGTGGGGGCTGGGAGCTTGGGAACTTGCCGAGAGCTTGTGTCCGTCGCATTAGCGAGGATGTTGGCGATAGTCCTGAGACTGGGCGTGCCTCCCCCTCCGCTGACCAACTAGAGTGACCTGGGGAAAAACATTTCCCAGACGGCCCTCGTGATGGGCCACAGTTTCAGAGCTGGCTGTCCAGGCTTGTGTATTCGAGGTGCAAAAACTAGTTCATGATGTTGCAAAGCTTCTAAGTGTGTTTTTAGGTAGAAGTTTTTAAGCTGTCTTAGGCGCATTACTTTAAGTGTAGTATGCTCTTTAATTTATATTCTGAAAGAACTGAAATTTTGATGGCCTGCTGGAGGAGGTACTAGAATATTCTCAGTTCTAAAGGCAGGTGATGAAGGGGCACTGAACATGCGTAGACACCCTGAATTCTCCCTGGCCTCTGTGTGGCCGCTGAGTGGTTCACGGATGGGCATTCCCGAGTCTTCCCCATTGACAGTAACTTCGGGGGGTGTCTCCGTCCTGGTCGAATCAAGCCCAGGCTCTTGGGTGGAGCTGGTGCTGCTTCCGTTGCCTGGCCACAGCTCATTGTGCAGCTTTCTGCACCACTTGCCAGCCGGCCTGAGTTCCCACGTTGCAGCCAGCACCGCATCTGCTCCTGGCACAGCTCAGCTCAGCCCTGTTGTACAGACTCTCCTGGAAGTAGCTGCTGATGTGTACATCCAACAGGTGTGGTTTGGTGAGCGTGGGTGCGCGTTTCTATGAGGACTAGCGAGGAGTGGACTGTCTGGGTCTTGGGATGGGCACATTCGCAGCCAGGTCGTTCCCCACAGTGTGAGCTCCCGAGCAGTGTTCTGTGTGGTCGCCGCACCTGACGTGGGCTTTCTGCGTTGGCGAGTCTGTGCCTCTGTACGCTGGTGGCGTCCGGTGCCCTTCATGTTCCCTTTTATTCCTGTGGGCTCTCCCTGAGCCCAGCTTACTGTGCCGCAGGAGGATCTGTTTGCTTGTTCGTTTTTCTTCCTCATTTGTGGGAGCGCAGTCTGGGTCTGAGTCTGTCGTCATGTGTCTGTGCACGTGTGTCAGGTCTGAGCCCATTGAGGCCGCCTCTTACTCTCTTGCAAACGTCATGATAGTGGTGAGTGGTGATGATTAAACTAATGTTTGAACAATTCGTTCTATCAGGCACAACACACTGTGCGTGAGAGGCAGAGAATTGTGGGAACTCTGAGGGTGACTCAATCACCATGTCCTTTTGCCTCTCTACCCTGTCACCTGCTGGGTTCCACTGTCTGCCCCATCTCTGCCGACAGCTGGCCCCCGCTGGGTAGGCTCCCAGCCTGTCTGTGGCATCCTGCTTTCTCTCCTGCGGCCACTGCCTACCACGCACCCTGTTCTGAATGTAGCCGTGGCCTGATTTTGGCCCGCGCTGTACCTGAGATGCCTGAGTGAATTTGTTCCTGTCCCATCCGAGGGATTTTTGTTGGCTCAGCGTCCTCTCTGCTTTAATAGTAATGGAATCTGACTTGCTGCTGGCCGCCTGAGTTAATGGTTCCCCTGTCGTCCGCTAATGTTGCCGTCTTCGCCTGGCCTCTGTTCTCAGTAGATCCCTCATGTTGTTTGTGTAGTCTGTGGGAGGCCTGCCTCAGATGGGGCAGAGCCTGAGCTCGGACTGCCCCCCTACCCCTCAGCCCCGTAACTGAAACAGCCGGCGCTAACTCCTAGAGCAGAGACAGCTTGCCAGCTTCTCTCGCCTGATCACTGCCGACCCGTTTTTTTGGTTTTGTTTTGTTTTGTTTTTAAAAAGAGGTGGACCATTGCGCATTGCGAAGGATTTTTTTTAATAAGAGAGATACTAAGCCTTTATGTAAACTTGATGTTTCTATTTTTTTTAGAAGATTTATTTATTTGAAAGAGCTACACAGAGGAGAGGCAAAGAGAGAGAGAGAGAGAGAAAGAGAGAGGTATTTCATCTGCTGGTTCATTCTCCAATTGCCCGCAATGGCCAGAGTGGCGCCCATCCGAAGCTAGGAGCCAGGAGCTTCTTCTCGGTTTCCCATGCAGGTGCAGGGGCCCCAAAACTTGGGCCATCTTCTTCTGCTTTCCCAGACCATCAGCAGAGAGCCGGATCAGAAGTAGAGCAGCCAGGGCTTGAACCTGTGCCCATATGGGATGCGGGCACTGTAGGCAGAGGCTTATCTCACTAAGCCACAGTGCCGGCCCCTCCAAAATAATTTTCTACAGCCCTGCGGCCACTTAGCCACCTATACCTGTTAAGCACTTGCGATGTGGCTTGTGTGCCTGGGGGACTGGAATGTAGGTTTTAACTTCAATAGCCACACGTGGCTGGTGGTGCTTGTACGACACAGACTACGTAGATGTTGTCTGGGTGTTAGCTTACGGTGGAGACACAGGAGACAGAGGAGTGGAGGGGAAAGACTTGACAGCCAAGCTGTTAGGTTTCAGTGCCTTGTGGATTTTGAAAAAATACCAATAGTCCCCCTCTTAAATCAGAGGATAATCGCTTCCCCCTTCAAGTCTCAGTGTGTTTAAAACCCCTGTAGTGTAGTTTGAAACCGGCCCTGTAGTGGGGCTGGTGTGGGCCCATGTGGGAGAACCGGAAGAAGCTCCCGGCTCCTGGCTTTGGATCAGTCCACTCCGGCCATGGTGGCCATTTGAGGAGTGAACCAGTGGATGGAAGACCTGTCTCTGTCTGTAGCTCTATCTCGCAAATAAATAAAATCTTTTTTTACAAAAACAAACCTTTGTAGTGAAAAGCAACACTCAGAGAGGCCGTCTCTGGTGTTAATCAGTGTCTATTTCTAGAAATACTTTGATGTGGGTCTCGTCTATCTGTGTTAACAATGCTGGAGTCAGACAGTGCTGCCAGAAGGCAGCAGCGGAAAGAATATCAAAGTATGTGACGGGCGCTGTGGCACCAACAGTGCGGACCCCTGGCATGGTGAGAGCAGGTCTCGGTGGAACTCTGCGTGTGCACTGTGCTCTCTGCAGCTGGGGCTTAGGATTTGCTATTAGGAGGTCCCAGTTTGTCAGTAACCTAGGTCTTCCAGAGAAGAAGAAACACAAAGACAGGGAGACCAGAGGTTGGAGGAGCCCTGCTCCCCTTGGTCTGATTTCTCTTTGGGACTGTAGGCTTCAGAACCATGCATCAGCGTTACTCAGAGGGTCGCATGCCTACATGCTGGTCTGTAGGCCAAGTTGGGGGAGGGCAGAGGCTGATAGGATCGTGGTCCTTGGAGTTCCTGCGTGGGGCAGGGAATGCACAGCTTGCATGTCATCCAGATGCAGTCCTGGCAGTTTGAAGGGAGGTGGAGCAGAGAGGTTGGGGCGTCAGCTTGCGCGTCCCTGTTGGTTCTGCAGAGGTGTGCGCTGTGTAGTGTGGCAGAGGAGGGTGCTCCCCGGGGACTGATGCTCCCAGGGTGTACGTGCCCGTAGGACAGGTGTGTGCCTTCTAGGGTGCACTGACTGCGTTGTTTTCCTGAGCTGCTGGATTCTACTCACTCTACAGTGCCCCACTGTAGAAATCTCCCTGAGGGCTTTTATTATTTTTTAATTTATTTGAAAGGCAGAGCTTCAGAGAGGGAGAGATGGAGCGATCTTCCATCCGCTGGTTCACTCCCCAAATGGCCACAACAGCGAGGGCTGTGCCAGGCCAAAGATAGGAGCCTGGTGTCCAAGAGTGCAGGGGTCCAAGCACTTGGGCCATCTTCTGCTGCTTTCCCAGGCATGTTAGCACGGAGCTGGATCAGAAGTGGAGCAGCTGGGACTCGAACCAGTGCTGTTATGGGTTGCTGGTGTTACAGGTAGCAGCTTTACCTGCTACGCCACAGTGCTGGCCCCTCTACGCCGTCTTTTAAAACTCTGAGAGCATTCAATTTGTGTCACATGTGAATTGTTGAGTAAATTTATAAAAAGGTAGAAAAAAACAGAAGTGGACATCTCATTGATTGAGGATGTGCCATATTGGGGTTGATGACAGATGGAACTCCCCACAAGCTGACTTGTAACTTTGAAACTGATCAACTCGAAAGATTGGTTAGCAATCATTGCCTTGTCATTGGACAGTAATTCTAGTTTGCTAAAGTCAGTGTAGGATTAATTTCACCATAGTATTAGCTTCCAAACATTTTTTAAGTGGTGTTTTAAATCCTATTCACTGTGTGTGTGTATATAACTATATTTATATATCTTTATTAAGATATATATTAAATATTATAAATATTAAATTTGTATATATTTAATATTTTAATATATACACACTCATAAAATACTAATAGACTACATTAGTATATAACTTTTATTTGAATCAGATTCCTTATCTGAAATAGGAAATACCTTTGAAATGTAATGTGAGTTCTTTACATTTTTCTTTGTTTAAGGTGCAGAAGACAAATGTGTAATAGAAGGCAACAACTGTACGTTTGTGCGTGACTTGAACAAGATTCAGCCGTCAAGAAACACAGAACCACTAGGTACGTGTTTTTCTTTTCTCGGTTCCTTTCTGGATTGAAACAGACTTTCTTCTTAATTTCCTTGTTTTGTTTTCTTGCAGAATTACTGCTGAAGGAATTTTTTGAATATTTCGGCAATTTCGCTTTCAATAAAAACTCCATAAATATTCGGCAGGTAACTAATGTTCTAATGTCTGGCTGATTAGCTCTCTGACAGCTGTGCCTGCGTTTCAGCTCTGTGGCAGCAGATCTATGCTTAGAGGAGCTACAGAAGGTTCTAGCATTTGTCATTTGGAAGGGCAGAGGCCAGCTGTCTTACTCCTGTATTTATTTGAATGGGGTGGGGGCTGGGGTAGGGAGAGATAGACGGACCGCGAGCTCTCCCGTCTGCTGGTTTACTCCGTAAACCCTCGCAGTGACTGGGCTAGGCCAGGCTGAGAAGAGGAGCCGGGAGCTCAGGCCAGGTCTCCCAGGTGCACGGCAGGGTCCCAGTGACTGAGCCATCACTGCTGCCCCCGAGGGTCGTTGTCAGCAGGAAGCCGGAGTCAGGAAGTGGGGCTGAGAGTCGAGCCCAGCTGCTTCGGTGCAGGATGCGGGCGTCCACCATGAGGCCAAAAGCCTGTTGGGCTGGCTCTGTCGGCACGTGGCGCTAATGCCGTGGCCTCCAGAAGTGGACAGATTCTGCTCAGGTTCTGGACAGTAATTTTCCAGCTGACTTTGTGTTCTCTGGGAGAAGCCCCCAGGTAGGTTCTAGTGACCCCTTAGTGTGGTCTGAGTCCTTAGGGTTTGGTTTATTTAGAGCAAGCGAGTTCTTGGTTCCAGTTCTGTGAGGCTGGTGATAGACGTGTTTCTAGAAGAGAAGTGCAGCGTGGGCAGAACTGCCGGCACGGTGTGTTTCAGCGGGCGAGGCTGTGACGGCCACGTTTGGGTGCGTTCTGTGTGCTGGACACCTGCTGGCGCACCTCAGGACTGGCTGGGTCCTGGTTATCCGCTCAGCTCCCTGTGTCCTCTCTTCCCTGGCTTGTGGACACATGGTCAGCTGTGTGGGGCGTAGAGAGGCCTCTGGAAGGGGAAGGCCACCAAACCGAAGGTCCCTTGTCGTCCTGGCACTTGGGGGCTCCGATGACCGGCAGGCAGGAGCGTGCTGAGCGGTGCAGCAGAGGTGGTGGCGCACCCAGGGGCGTTGCTCACTGGAGGGGAGTCTTGACCCGGGCCTGGGGAGAGAAGATGCGTAGATGGTGGCTCACCGCTGCGCTCTGGACTCGTGGTTTCGCCTTCTGTCTGGGAGGCTTTGTCCCAGGCTGCAGGCCCGAGCATGCGCTCTTTAGGAAGGCTCTGGAGACGTTTCTTCATTGCAGACCCCCTCTGGGAAGGTGAGGACTAGCATTAAGGAATTCAGCTTCAGTGTTGTACCTGTCTGCACGGTGACTTTAGAACATGCTTATTTCCATGTCTTTGAAAGACAGAGAGAGGCAGGCAGAGAGAGATTGAGCTTCTATCTGCTGGTTCACACACACACACACACACACACACACCCGCCAGTGCCTGCAACAGCCAGGGCTGGGCCAGGCCAAAGCAAGGGGCCAGGAACTCCATTAGGGTCTCCCAAGTGGATGGCAGGGCCCAAGCTCTGGAGCCGGCACCTGCTGCCTCTGAGGATGTGTTAGCATGAAGGGGAAAAACAGGTGCATACACATACACACATATACACACATACATACACACATACACGTGCACACACACACACATACAGATACACACATACATGTACACACATACATGTACACATATGCACACAGAGATACATATACACATACATGCACACATGTGCACACACATACATACGCACATAGACACACATACACATAGACACACATACACTAAGCACACATACACACACACACATACACATAGACACACACGCACACGGGGCCGCAGACACGCCCCACCCAGTTGGGAGGGAAGTGATTTGCTTGTGCGGGGAATGCTGGGGTTTTCCGCATTTGGCGTTTCTGGAGCTAGCCAGCTGTGCTCGTGCTGCAGCCCGAGGTGTGCTCACACGATTTCCCCCTTCTGTGTCGTCGTCATCTTCAGGGAAGGGAGCAGAACAAGCCCGACTCCTCTCCGCTGCACATTCAGAATCCTTTCGAAACTTCTCTCAACATAAGCAGAAACGTGAGCCAGAGCCAGCTGCAGAAGTTTGTGGACCTGGCCCGAGAGAGCGCCTGGCTGCTGCAGCAGGACGGGGAGGGCGGCCCGGCCCCGGCCCCGCGGCAGCCCTGGGGGCTGGCAGCCCTGCTGCTGCCCTCCGTCAGGGATAGCAGGTCTCTCTCCAAGAAGCAGAACAGGCGGCCTGCGAGCGAGAGGGTAAAAAGCTTGCTTGAATCCATCAAAGAGCACAACCCGGACAGCCCCACGGCCACTGACGGGAAAAGGACAATGAGCACTCACGCATGACCGCTGGCCGCCCCCTCCTTGAACTGGTTGTCCTGTGACGTTGTCTGTACCATGGAGGAACTGGGGAACTCCACCAGCCACACTTCCATGCCAGACCATCTCCTGGCCTTCCCGGCGGCTCCCTCTGCCTGCTCTGCAGCCTGGGGCGTTGCGGCCCCCACCGGCCGGCTGCCCCCAGTCCCAGCCACAGCCACAGCCACGGAGCAGGGGGCAGAAGGTGGAGCACTCCTCGCAGGATAAACCGTACGGAGGGAATGGGAAGAATGATTTTAGGATCAGACCGGTGTTGGTCTCCCCGGCAGGCCCTGTGGGGACGCATTTAAAAGGACATGCCCAGTTGTGCGCAGGCATGAGCAGAGATTGCGTAATAAAACTGCCAGGTGTGGTGGTGGTCCTCTTGATACGGATTTTTCTGTTTTACGAACCAAGCACTCTTACCATGTATAAATTAGAACAGGTTGGCGCTGACAACCAAAAGCAGATTTTTAAAACATGCAGACAGACACTTCAGGCAGCACATTCTAGATATTCTAAACCAGATGTATGCACATACTGATATACTGTATTTTTAAATTCATTTAGGTTTTCTATTTCCAGAGATGACCACTTTCTAACTAAAATGCGGTATTCCCCATAGTCTTCCCCTTGTCCCTTCCCTCTGTGCTGTGTTTCCCGTTAGCAGCAGGCAGTGGAGGGTACAGACACAGGCATGAACTTGAGCAGCCTGACCTGGCCACTTCTTGTGCACCAGCAGATGGCTTTGAAGAGGCCGAGGCAGCCGAGCCTGGCCGGGAGGAAGCGCGGCCGTCTGCAGCCTGCACTGTGCAGAGTTTGGTGTGGAATCCTTTGTCTCCAGAGTTCAGATGGAGAGTTTGTGAGGCTTCCCGCTTAGGGTTTAGAGCAGTGATCACAGCCGGCTCTGGCGTGGGCTGTGCTGGGAAACCCAGCGATAGAATTACTGGGAAGCAGTACATAACTCTGTCCACGAGGCTGTGCTGTCGGCTCTCAGATCTGAGCCCAACAAGTGGGGCTCCGTGTCCGTTCCACAGGTGGCGCCTGAGCCGACAGCCGGTTTCTGTTAGTTCTGTAGTGAAGTGTGGCGCTGTTGGGACCTGCGTTGCCTGAAAAAGATAAAAGCACAACCACGGAGGAGTTTCTGAATGAGCTAATGTGTCCTTTTTCTGTTCATGGAGATTGGATGAGGCATTTTCCTCTTCGACATGTACGTCTGTTTTACTTTTCAGAGTGAGATTTAATGATGCGATGAATTATAATCTATAAGGATCTTTGACCGAACAGCTTTAAATGTTAGTTAATTGAATACTTGCAAACAAATGTTTTCTCATTACTTCAGTGTTTCACTTCCTAGATTTTTAAATGTAATTCTTATATCATGGGCATAATAATTGCCATTTTCTACAACTAATTGCAGCAGTAAGAGTTTTGTTTCCCCAAGTTTGATTTCCACTGTTAACCAGGCTTTTGTCTGGTAGCTTTCACCTACTTGTTAGGTAAAGGTAGATTTTTTTACTTGTTTGTTTCTAAGATTTATTCATTTGAAAGACAGAGTTAGAGAAGGAGAGACACAAAGATCTTTTATAGCTGGTTCACTTCCCAGATGGCCATAACAGCAGGGCGGATCCAAAGCCAGGAGCCAGGAGCCTCTTCCAGGTCTCCCACATGGGCACAGGGGCCCAAGCACTTGGGCCATCTTCTACTGCTTTCTCAGGCTCATTAGCAGGAAGCTGGATCGGAAGTAGTATCGCTGGGAATCGAACCATATGCGATGCTGGCACCACATGCGCCACAGCGCTGGCCCCTGTAGATTTTGCTAGGTGACTGCCTAGGTAACTGGATTGCAGCTGTGTGTCATTCTAGATGTTGCGGCCCTCTGGTGTAATTCCTGGAAGGGTTACCCTTCTTTAGGGAACTGGGGAGTTGCGGGGACATTCCTGGGCACCAGCGTGCACTCGCTGTCTCAGGCCTTCAGGGGACGTCAGCAAAAAGAGAATCATGACCGTTGCAGGAAGGCTGTCCTCTGTCATTTACCACCAGCCTCTGCTTGCGTTCACTCTGCGCTGTCAGGTGAGAACAGGATTAGATTTCCTGTCCCAGAATTCCCAGGCAGTCACCATGCAGCTGTGTCCAGCTCCTAACAGCTGCCAGGGCCGTTACAAAGGTCCACCTCGTGGCTTAAGTGGGTCGGCTCCTGTTTCCAGGTTCTCTGTGTTCATCCTCTCCCCTCACCTCACCCTACACACTGTGAGTGCCCAGTGACTTCTCTCTGCCCTTAGTAAATGCACAGAAGTTTCTCAGCTTCCAGAATGATGCTGAGACCCGGGAGAGTATGAGAAAGACCTCACTCGATGTGGTCAGTAAGTAAGACTGTGATGGACTTGTGCACCGTACAGTCCTGTGTGAGCGGCAGGGACCCGGGAGGTCTCGGATTTTAGAGCGTTCTGGATTGTGGACTTTCAGGGTAGGGCTGCTCGGCTAGTAAAAGCATATGCAAATTCTTGAAAGTCCAGCAGATTGGCAAAGATGAAAGGCTTCGTGTCCAAGGCCTTTCAGATAAGAAAAACTCAACCATATCCCTCATTTGCAATAGGCGAAGTTTAAATGAATGCAGAATAACATTGCAGAGTGTTACTTGGGCTTATTTTGAAGTGTGGGACTTGAGGACTAACTGTAATGGGAGCCATTGAGTAAAAGGGAGAAAACTCATGGAAAGGTTAACAAAGTAAGGCCGTGCATGGTCCACATCAGCTGAAGTTTTTAGCACATGGCACCTGTCGGGTATAATGAAAGTCTTGCTGCTGCAATGCCTCAGGTCATGTTGCGTGAGAGTGATACAGCTTGGTGGCTGGGATCTCAGTGACCCTTTGATGAGCTCACCATCCGTGGGCCTGGAGAGTGTAGTGGATATTGACAAGTTCCTCTACTTCTGCCTTGCCTTGACCTGGGACAGGAAGTGGCTTGTGGAACCATCTCGGCAGCTCACTCACGCAAAGCGGAGTTCACTTACAGCCTCCTTAACTCCCCAGGTCTACAATGTAAGCAGATGGCAGCCATCTATGGATCCATCAGCATTTCTAAAGAACAGTCATAAAAGCAGTGCTGTGCCTCTATCTCCAGTCGTGCAGCTGTGCGGGTGGATTTTGGGTCTCACGGTCACTTCCCCCACGGGCGTTTGTGTGAATCCGGATCCCCTTGTAATCCTCATGCAGTGGTTGGTTCACCTGGCCCCCAACTCGTAACTCTGCAGGATGCTGCTGCTTCTCTCTCTGCCCTCGCAGTTCACTGAGGAGACGGGGTTATTTGTGTCACACGTGGTTATTTGCGACCACACGTGGATTGTGCCAAAAATTGTCAGCACGTGGGATTGCGTGCTTGGAATTGTTCATGTTACGTAATGACTTAAAAATATGTTTCAGGGTGGGCTTTGTGACTTAGCGGGTTAAAGCACCACTTGAGACACCTGCTTCCTGTACCTACAGTGCCTGGGGTCAAGGACCCTACCCGCTCCTGGGACACAGCTGCCCGCTGATGTGCTCCTTGGGCGGCCGCAGGTGATGGCTCAAGTGCTTGGGCCCCTGTCACCCATGCAGGAGACCTGATAGTGTTGTGGCTCCTGGCTTCATCCCGGCCCAGCCTCAGCTGTTGCGGGAATTTGGGGTGTGAACCAGTGGGTGGAAGATCTCTGTCTCTGTGCTTTGTCTTCCAAATAAAAAAACTTTAAATATATATGTTTTCTTGACTTTAGAATACCAGCATGCAGATTCTGCTTTGGCTCCCTTCCCGTCCATTCTGTAGGGTTGTGGTTGTGGTTGCTCTCGTTAGACCTTTTTCCATAGCCCCCTGTGTCTCTTTCTTGCTTTCTTGTATTTCTTCCCTTCCGTCTCTCTTCCTTCTGGGAACTTAACTTCTGACGTATTACGGTTTACCGATTTGTTCTCTATGCCTTAATTTCTGAAACTCATTTATCACTCCCCCACCCTGCACCCCTACCTCCCAGATGTGGCGTGAGGGAGAAAGCTGCCCGTTTCCTTTGGAAACAATTTTATTTTTGCTTCTATGAGCCAGAATCCTCTTAATTCCAAAAAGGGTTGCGATTTGAAGCTGGATTCTGCCCCCACCCCCATCCCTCACAAGATTCTATTTCATCTTCACTCTTAGAAAGATTCCAGGAGAGCCAGGCACGCCAGGCTGGGCCAGGGCCCCTTCTCTGCCTGGGAGTCTGAATCTGCTCAGCCCCTAATGCTGGGCTCACCTTGGTGAGTTCACTTCTCCATAGTCCCACGGTGGCGCTCTGCCTTGTCGGCTTGGAGGCGCTTGCAGCCAGCTGTCTGGTGTTCTGCCCACATTCGCTAGTTGTCTTCGATGAGAGAGTTGGTATTTGTTAGTCGGCCAGGACTGGAAACCACTGGGTCCCTTTTGATTCCACTTCTGACTCCCAAGTATATGTATATGTGGAAGACACACTGATCTCCCAGGGACGGGTGGCGGTGTTTAGTCTGCTTCCTGCGCCGAGCTTGGGAGCCACGTCTGGCGATGCCTGTGGGGTTGAGCTCTGGACAGCAGTGCCGGCACGCGGCTGGGATGGATGCCCGGCTCGCCGCCGAGGGAAGCAGGGGCTGTGACTAGTTCCAAGCCCTGCTTCAGAAATCCGAAATTGCCAGCGTTTATTTCTGGGCTGTGACTTACTCCCAGAGATTTTGTGTGTACGTGCCAAGTCGGGGTTTGAAATTCATGCCATGTGTGAATGAGTATACGAGATTTTGCCCAAATAAGAACTGGGAAAATATCTTTTCCTAACTGGATTGAGACACCTGAAACAGCTATGAAATACTGTTTTTTTCCTCTTCAGTTTTCCAGAGTATTTACCAAGAATGATGTGTTTTAGGCCAAAATACTTCTTTTGTACGATTTATAAGCGAGACTTTAGAAGAGCTCTTTTAGACCGTAAGCATATGGAATTACCAGAATATCTTATTCCTGAACAAAGAATTCCCGTGCATTTTCAATGGATGACTAACTCAGGTGTTTCTATGTATTGGGTCTGTTGTTTCTAGAACGTGCCTTCCATCTTTGTCATTTTTCCTGTATGCCACCAGCCTCCGTTTGCAGAGAAGTAACAATTAAACGTTACTGTCATATTCTGAGTTCTCAAGTCGTATTAACAATCTGTGGAGATTCTCAGATGACTCTCCTGCCAAAGACCTGCTTTCGTATCTTTAAAGTTTTACCTCAGATCTTTTATCTCAGAAAGCTTTGTCAAAAGTGAAATCATTTAATGTTTCTGTCTTAACGGTTTTAGACAATGTCAGAGCTTCAGACTTCTCAAAGCCGTGTCCTTAATACTTAAAAGTTGCCTTCAGCAGTATTTGAATTTCAATGTGAT